ACAGGGCTGGTGTGATTGAACTCTAAATCTGCTTTTGGTGTTGTTTCCAGGACTTTAGTGACACTGAGCTCATTTAGTTCAGATAATGACTGATAAACATTGTTAGAACAGTTCTGAGCGTATAATAGTCCCTGCATTCATGTGTTTTTAAAACCGGTGTGATACATTCTCATTTCACCCTCCCTCCGCCTTTAAAAAAGACTTCCAGCTGCCCTATCTGCAGGGCTCCCTTTCATCATGCTGAATCCATTGCTCACCATTTTGATACTTTCATCAGCCTCACAATAAGTGAGGCATCCTGGCGACATTACGCAACCAGCTGAAACACTATTACCTCATTGTCCCATTTTTGCGTTTCGGCGCAGGCAGGTACAGTATCTTCCAACTTCCCCCGATCCGACAAATTTAATCATCCCCACACACGACTGAGACTCGCTGTGACATCCTTCCTCTGCCAGACAGCCAAGTCACACTGGCTGGCCACCTCTAATTATTTCATGCCCCTTGGTTCTGTGAGTACAGGACGATATGGTGGTGCAGCGTTGGAGAAGAATGAGGCTGATTGACAGCCAGCCCCCATCCCACAGGAGCTCATTAGGCTTCCTGACTAAAAGCTAGTGGGCACGCTCCTGCTGCTCCTGCTGCCTTCTTCCTCTGGTCCTCCTTTTAGTCCTACATTCAGTAAGTTGGAGAAAGAAACGCCTGAACTCAGCTGCAAGCTGAGAGTGAACTTACTGTGCTCTTATCTCATCTGATCAGAGGATCAGCTTGCAGTAAAAGTTTCTTTTTTGGAGATCTCGCTTTCATTTGGGCTTTTTTCAGCCCCTGTGACTCTTTTGCATTTCGGTTTTTGAGAGTTCTCCCTCTTTGCTCGCTGTCTCTGCCGTTCTCTTAATATTTCTCGTTGCTGCTCTTTTCCTAGCTGTCTCCCGGGGTGATATAAGGCAGCGGTGCAGCTTCTGAGCAGCCCTTGAAGTGTTGGGTCCTCTGAGAATACTTTAAAAGGCCATTTCATCATCTTCATGAAGCAGCACTTGGGACCAAGCTCAAATATGACTTATGTGAAACTAGCATAAACTCCCTGGAAAGTTTTGTTGCAGCCTTTGCAGTTATGCGCTGTGCAGATCCACTCATGGTGTCCGTTTGTAGTTTTGCAGTCGGTTTCCAGCAGATCTTCTCTCATGTTGCAGATCAAGGAAGAGGGGAAGCAACTTTCTGACGGACATCAAACTGCAGGCCACAAACACAGCCAGCTTTATAAGAAATGCGGAGAATGTGGGGGTGCAAAGGCTCCCACTTTTCAATTTGATGCGCCAATTAGACACAGACGGACGGACGGATGTGACTCCTGTTTCTGATCCGCTTTCTAAACTGGAGAACTTTAGATCCGCTTCACTCACCGCCCTTCATCTGTCAGTCCGGTGTCAACTGATCAGAG